ATGGAAGAAATATGATGACAGTCAGGGCACATAAAAGCACTCGGGTCAGACACACATTCGCCAATTGTCCTTTAACTCGATACCATACACTTTGAGCCATAATGATGGTAAAGTGAAACAACCAGTGATCTTAAGGTTACCTGAACATCTCCAATTAAACTGTAGTATTAAGACACATAAAACTCACTGATGGCATGATCGGACAAATTTCGGGACCCAAGGATTTTCTGGAGCTCGACATGAACCTATCAAAAGAAAATCCTTAACACAGTGGAACAGCCAACAAAGCGAGAAAGTAAAAAGTGATTTTTGGCATACCCGGATTCAAGGCAGAGGTCACAGTATTTGAATTTATTGACCTTTTTCACTGCGTTTCGGACCTTTTTCAAGCACTCAATAGCACTGTTTTGCTTTTTCCTCAGCTGATCCGGATCGTAGGTCATTTGGTAGAGGGACGCGACACTTACATTGGGACTGATATTGAGGTATAAAAGTTCAATAAGTACGTATCCAGCAATTGATAGCAAAATGCAACTTATTCGTCAATAAATGATTAACGAAACTCAACAATATACTGAGTATGTCAAAGAACCAATAGAAGATTAACATGAGCGCAGTACTAACTGCCTTCTAAATAAAAAAGTGGAACAAAACTGACTAAGAACATACTCAGCTGTGTCCGGTACTTCAGCAGCATTGCCAACCTTCCGTTTCTTTAAAGATGGAGAGCTGTGGGACTGCTCTTGATCGCCCTTTGTTTTTGACTGATACTTTTTCATCAATATGGGATCATTTACAGGCATGGAGACCTTTGTTCGATAGACAGCAAATTACTAATAGAAGAGAGAATTCTACTCTGGAAACTATGTGATGTCTTTGGATGAAGATCAGACAACGTCAATGAGGCCGCTGATTTTGCAGCTATGGGACATCAATAATACAGTGCTACATCGATTCAAGACTATACACCACAGTATCAAATTTATAATAAAACTGTCGAAAATATGGCGAAAAATAATGGTAAGATGTAGTACCTCAGCATTAAGAGTTCGTCCTTTAAAGAAATATCCATTCAGTTTTTCAACGGCCTTATCTCTATCCTCCGCGGATCTGCAAAAGATTCAAATAATACGGAGCAATAGGTTACTAAAAATTGAGCAAAAACCTTGATACAATAAAGTTACAATATATTAAGTGTCCCGCAATTGAGTTAAAATTCAACAGTAGATTGAATTGAGTTTAAACATTGAACCACCACTTATCCGATCATAAACAAGCGAGTTCGCCTGTTCTAAACCAAGTATTCCTTAGGTGTTTAACGATACAATCGAGAGTAGTGGGGTATAGATAGTAAATATGATCATTCAATCAAAAACTTAGGAACGAGGTAACATTTCTAACATACGTATGCAATTGGCAACCCTCAGACCAAAAGATCCTTCCAGAAGGTTGCCATTTGCATAGATATAAATTAGACATCGTGGGCTTATGGCAAAATTTTACCAAGGTGCAAAAAAGCCCAATAAATTAGTTACCGAAAGGTTATGAAGAAAAGCCCTCGACCAACTGGTTTGATTTTTGATGTGTCAAAACCCTGTGATTGGAGGAATTTCTTCATTGTCTAGAAAGAGCACGAAAAAAAAGATGAAAGGTATCAGTTTTAGAGGCAAAGTGAGAAGAAATCGAACCTAAGAAAGGGTTCAGTGATTTTAAAAACACGTGTCTGGAAAATTAGCAATTACACAAGGGAAGTACTTCAAAAGCACATACTGAGGGGGAGGGATGAATTAGATATTTGATCACGTAGGCAGAAAAATTGAGACGCACCTTGACTGTAATGTGTTTGTTGACATTGCTGAGTCGAATTTTGAAGCGTTCATAAGAGGGCTGTCCGCTATCGAGATAGGCATAAACACAGTCTGGCGCAGAGCATGGTGTGGGAATTGCACTCGGTGGACAACTACTCCTGTTTTCCCAACATGAACACTTGATTCCAATATTTATGGATGGCTTGATCGTTTGCTCCACTGCGTCCTGAATAACTTGGTCCTAAGAGATACATTTTCCTATGATTTAGACCATTCACAGAAAAAGGAAAAAGAATGGTCGAAGACAAGTAATATTCGAAGTAAAAAACTCTGAAGGAGCTTATTGTACTTCTATAGTCGGTATATGGACATCGATGTCTAAATGAAGCATGGAAAATAGGATTAATACTTGATTAGTTCTACGTCAGTTGCACTTCAACATAGTTCCATGGACTATGGACATTGACATCCACGTCATGGAATAGAAATAAACTTACCAAAGGAGCAGAAGCAGAAATCTTAGCCATATTCGAAGAATCCATGTGGAACTTAATAAAACATTATAGCCTTGAGATCAAAACATAAACAACCTGCATTGGAAAACAGCAAAGCTCCTAGCAAGGAAGTATATTTTCAAATAAAGAAAATACGGCCAAGTGCCCCAATAAATAGACAATGAGTGTATATCACAAATTTGCAATAGGGGCTAATCTGTCCAGGCGCACTAACCCCAAATGTACACTCAGGTCATTATGACAGACTCAGGAATCTTGGCCTCTAGAGTGCTATTGTGGAGGCTACGAGAAGGCTTACACTTGCCTAAGCTGGAACAATACTAATTTCCTTATTTTAGTTTAATTGTTCTCATTAAATGGCAACGATATAAAAACTGAAAAGTCTACTTAAAGCACATCTAGTCACTAATTGTTCCATTTGGGGATTTACCTAAGATCTTTCCTCACCTTCCAACAGCTCCCTCAACTAGTGAGCTCAACGTCCCCACAAGTTCTTTCCGGCAAAGCCTCCTCTCCCCAATCCTGTTAGCAACCCTAAATCCCCCCAGCCACACTGCACCAACTCACCACCCCAGTCCCCAGGCTAGCAGATCCCCGGGCACCGAAATCGTGTATTGAGCACGTGGCACCAACAAGTAACAAGAAAATACTACCGATGACAGCGCAAACGCATAACCAATAAGGTATGAGGTGAGGAAATAGGAGGGAAAGAACAAAGGTCAAAAAAAAGTGGAGAATGGCTCAACCCCACGTCGGGGCAGAACCTCCGCTGGCAGAACCGGTACCGGAAGCGCTCGTTCCACCACCGCCGCTACCGTTAACGCGTGCGCGAGAGATGGTCACATTGATGCCGAGGCTGCCATTATCTGCGAATAGTTGAGCCATGTTGGAGTCGAAAACAAGGCAGTCAGAAATGGCGATCGCCGCTTGCACACCGTCGTGAATGCTCCGCGGCGTCGCCTCCCATGTCAAGCGCCGTGTGGAAGCCGTCAGATCTAGCCTGCACAAAGCGAAAACGTCAAGACAATGCTGCAAACATAATCCAAGATATCTCTAGCACCATTTCACGACCCATTTGACTTTTTCATAAGCGACCTACTTTACTTGATACAGTCCTTGCGAACGAAAGCCACATGAATGGGTGCCAACTTCGTTAAAACAATTTATATCGTTTATTCTTTAATACGTATGAGATGATTTGAGCTAATACTGAAAGTTTATAATATTGATAGAAGTGCTTGGGATAATGTGAAAAAAAATACCGGGGCGCTATTCGCAAATAGTAGAGAAAAACCAGATAATAGCAAGTGAGTTGAACAATCATAAACCAAGCCTGTAAAGTCCTAACAAATTAAGTTGTTTTGAAAGGAACATAAATACATTTTAAACTATATTTTATAAAGCTGTATTTGCTGTTGCGACAGTACGCCTGATATTAACGGGCCTTTGGTGTCTCAAATATAAAATCTGCTCATTTGCAGATACATTTTAGGAAATACTGAACATTTACTACGGAAAAAAGTTTCCCTCTAAACGAAATGAAATCCCGTCCGGACTTTCCTTCGCATAAAGTACCGTATGCTAACAATCAAGCGAAAAGATATGAGAAAGAGAAAAAGGAGCGTACTTGTACACGAACTGGTCAGCCTGTTTTTTAGTTCCGATAAGGAGGACGAGGGCGAAGAAAAACTGGTCGGGAGACACTCGCTCTTGCTTTTCCAGCACAAGCATGAAGTAATGCCCGAAGCACGACTGCATCATCACCCAGTCAACGGCCCCAGGCAAGGTGATGTCGGTCGCCAAGAAGACAATATCCTCGCCTACGGGGCAGGGTAAGGTGGAGGAAGTAGGAAGCATGAGTAATCAAAAAATTGTTTATTAAGCATGGCAAAAGGGGGATCAGAAACATTACCTTGTAATGTGGTAATGCTTTTGTGGCTCTGCAGAAGATGAGGCATGACCTGATCGAGTTGGCCAAGCCATTTGCACGAGGTGCCCGGGCAGGGGCAGCTGTAGGGGCTACAGGGATTTGACAATACAATTTAATTAATAGCGTGGCTTACCTACATTTTTTGGAAAAATAGCATATAGCTGTAGTGCGAGTGCGTTTGCAAGCCCAATACCATGTAAAGGGGCTGCAGCAATTGACAGTTTTCCCAATTTACGTACACAGGTATACACTACGACATAGTTGACTTTCGAGAGTTAGAGAATGAAGGCGGCCAAATTTCTAAATTACAAGTAGGAGAGGGAGGCACGGACTGATGAGAGTGAAAGGCGTGAAACAAAAGATTGTAAGGATAACTCACCGATGCTCGCAGACAGATTCATGTTCCGCCTTTACGGTGTAGTGGAAAGTCTCCGCGCAGCCAGTTAGAGCGTACTTGCAGGGGAAGAGAATACTAGCGGCCAGTTTCTCCATTGCCAGATTGCGGATGTTTTCTAAAAATGAGAGCGAGTAGGCGTGTGAATTTGCTATCACATGATCAGAAAAAGCGCAACAATGATGTACACTTGGGAGATGTTACAACAGAGACTAGCTATCAACCTCAATCGTGTTGCACCAGATCTGTTCATCCGTCTATGATTAAAGCTGAGCGAAAATTTCAGTAAAACAACTTGTAGGAAGGGGCTTCTAGCAGTGTCCAAGTTGTTACTAGCAGGTTTGCTTGAGCTCATTGTTTTAGAAGTTAGGCCACTGTGGCGCATCAAAGTACTAACGTAAGTGAAAAACCGATAAATTTACGATCAAACCACGTATCAAGAAAATGATGCAGCCATAAAGCTAATTTTTAAATGCATTTGTTAGATTTCCGGATCCAAATGAATATGACACAGAACTGATCGTAATGGGTTTAAAGGGGTAAAAAACAGTCCAATTAACACATAGGTCAAGGATCAAAGTAGTAAGTAGATAAGGGTGAGACACTACTTACTAAGTATTTAACAACTTTACTCGAATTTCGAGAAGCAAATTAGTTGACATGTACATTCGATAGGCTAGCGAGATAAAATTATGATGCCCGCATTAAAATTACAACCTTCCGGTCGTTGTGCCGATTACTATTGATCTGAATTATGCGCAATCAGCAAGTGCTCAAATATGTGAACAGTCATGAGTAGGATGATTTATCAACAATTTAGTAAGGTAAAATTTTTTAACAATTTGTGCGAACGCTGATTATGATGCAGCTACAAACAAGTAAAAGCTACAAGTGGCCTACGCAATCAAAACAAAACTCAAAAAGTTGGAATCATTGTAGAGTACGACCAAAGATGTTTACCTTGCGCTTGTAATAACAAATGCCATTCAAAAAGACTAGTTACCTGGCAGCAACAAAGAAACACAAGTTTGATATATTTTGAATTGTAGGTGCATAGAATACTAAAATTTTAGAAACTTTCGTCAATGTAAAAACCGAGCCAGATCTTTCACCGTAGAGACCCTTCTTTCAAGTACAGCCAAAGAAATTCAAAATAAACGTCACCTTGCTTACGATAAATTAGCCACACTGAAATGATATGTGACAGGGTTCATCAAATAAAACGTCCAATTACTAGAGGCTTTAAAAACGAATCATTTTTGGAGTAATACCTTACCCAGATTTCCGCGGCAAGTGGGACAAGAGGAGAGTTTGCTGCGACAACTGGCACAGACGATGTGACCACTTTGACACTGCAAAATCGGAGGCAGTGCGAAGTCCATGCAGACAGGACACTCGAAAAGACTAACGAGATCCATGGAGTTAGTAGGAGTCGGGGGGTTACCGCCAGCACCGGTGGGAGGGGGCCTCTCTGGGCCATTTGGGAGCACAGGGGTGGCGGTGATAGGAGTAACTGAGGCGGAAGCGGGATGACTAACCCCACCAACTACTCCAGCGCCAACCCCACCACTGCCGCTACCTCCGCTCCCACTGGAGTCACCATCTGCTCCGGCGGAGTCGAAGTCAAAGAGGGCTGCGGAAGCGGCCGGACGCTGTGGGTTGGACGATGACACCCCAGCAAAGTGTCTTTCTACGACGGTAGAGGAGACTTGTCTATGTGAGGTAGGGCGAGCGGATGGCTCAGCCACCACCACCGAAGTTGGACGGTCCGAACCCGCATGAGAAAACGAGGAGCTCATGGCAGCTGAAATGATACCATGCAATAGCAGAACGCTATAACCCTGGACCCACATAAAGCATCTGTTGCTTTGATTAATAGGATATGAGGAGAATCGACAAGATATAATGTAGAAGGGGATTAATCATTACAAAAGTATAGTGATGTGAACCAGAAGGGTACAGTTTATCGAATTAAGCACAGCTGGCCAAAAGCAGATATAATACACATCTGATGCTGTGGAAAATGGACCAACGTACTTAAAGCGTCTTCAAAAAGTTAAAGTAAAAAAATACAGAACAACTTGATTTCAAGCATGCAATCAGAATAAAGTATATGTATACATGACCTTTAATAAAAGCTGTCACATATTGGGTATTGAAAAGTAGTTTTTACTGAAAGCAATAAAGCGAAACGGTAAAGCAAGTGGCAAAATTGCGAGAATAATGAGCGTGTAGGCCGAGAATTCAGATTGATGTGGGCAGGGAACATACGAGACATGGAAATTAAAATAGGAAATACAAAGCCGCAAACTAATCAGATCAAAGACGACTAACTAAAAACGGCTTGTTAAGCTACTCAATAGGCCAATGGGAAGTCAAAAGATCGCATGACAAAGTTAGAGATTTGCATTTCCTATTTAAATGAACTTTAAATATTTTTCCTCAGATAAGTGCCCGACACCTTAGTCAGGCACACAATTCAGGAGAAATTGTCCAGAGGAGCAATGCTTGCAATGAGAACGTTTTGAGTAGAACACGAATATGCATTCTTAAGATTATGAATCAGCCATTTATTTTCAAAAGCCTTCTCCAGAGAAGTCAGTACACAATAGCAAACTTAGCAGCCAACACACGTCTAGATGACAAATGGGGACCTATCTTTAGCAGAAAACATAAATTGTGTGCATGATGCATTGAATTAATCAATAAACCAATAGCGAACCAACCTAGCTACTCCAGGATCCCACACATTAACAGAGAACACGGCATAAGCCGCGTCTTTGCAATACTGCTTCAAACAAACTTTTAAATATGTTCACAATAAATCAACAATAAGAATTTTCATGCCATTTAGTCTATAAAATCTTTTTTATTGAAGCAAAATTTGCGCGTCTGTTGAGGTTTTATCCCCGCAAAATCGATCAATTTTATTTAATGTCATCCTAACGTGCATTAGAATGCTATTCCCCGTTCTCGATAGGTGCGTTTTTGTAGCCGTTTGTTGCATTGTTAAACTGCTTTTTAGGTGGCGCAGGCTTTTGGATACCGCACGTTGTGCCTTTGCGGTGCACCATGTCATGCATGCAAACTCTGGGACCCATGACGTTAACAATTAATCTTTCCTCATATTATTGTGGGATGCTATGATTTCAGGGATAGCTTAGATGGCACATATACGTTAAAACTCTGGTTTTAAAGACTCCTTAATACTTACCCTTTCAATAACCGTAAAAGCGCAGTCAGAAATGCCAATCTAGCGACTTGTTATTCTACGTTATGATTTATTACTTTGCGCGATCTTTTCTATAGCAATTACAAGGGATTCCATAATTGTAACTTTTTTCTTGACTTACTTTACAAAGCTTCACACTTTTTTTCGCACCAGCAACTTGCGAACTATCCATATCTCTAATCAGACGCCAGAAACATTATGTAGCGTCCCGAGACTCCCTGAAGACGAAAGAGGACACAATACTCGGGCAGAATAT